CAGACTTTACGTGCACTTTTCAGACTCTCAATGGTTACGCTTAGTATGAACGTCTGGTTTACACTTCTGACCTGATTTCTCGACGGTATGCATTACTACACCCTGATAGATGTCTCGCGCTACCGCGAGAAAATCCGAGAGATGGCAACGGTAAACAGAAACAGAACGCAAAATTGTAATCGTGCATGATTTCATTGGATTTGGTGAATACGAAGGTTCTAAAATATGTTATCGTTACTCTAGACAATTGCTGTTACTCAAGCAATAACGGTGGTAGGTATCATGAAAATGGGGGGAACACTGGAAAATTCTTGCAATACACGCTTTAATGCTGCTGCAGGGGCCCATTTATTTAATGTTGCTGCAGGGGTGCGTTTATTTAAGCCAGTATATTTTTCCGTTTTTTCCGTTTTTTTTTTAGCTTAGATGACCTCCGAGGTAAAATCCAATATGCCCATGACATTCAGCACCAAAATTTACCCCTACTGAACATCTTTGAGATTTTTAGAGTGCTCCGTATTGATTTGCATCGAGAACAGACAAACAGACATACATTCACAAATATGTATTAGATTAATATCCAATGCCAGACGAATCTAGATCTATCTGAACCTAGGCTCACACAATCTTAAATACGTGCATGTCACCCTGTCCATAAGTAGGGAAGGTGGTAGCCTGCACCTATGATGTTACTGGCACCTCACACACATATTATATATAACAAGCAGTGAACATGAAAGATGTGCATCTCAAAATGTGTTATTTGATGGGCGTAAGAAATCTGTCGAAACTCATAATATGCCATGTGTTGGAAACATACTTGCCTCTACTAGATTACGGAGTGTAAAAACATGGTGACTGCTACTGCTAGAGACTGTGAATATGTGTTTTCATATTCCTCAGCAATCAGATGTTGCATGGCACTAGCACTAAATGTTACTTCTTACGAAATTTATTTACGACCTACGTTTTCTCTTAGCTGGAATATTTTGAGCAAATTCAAATATGGCGTGAGCTTTAGACGTGCTTCAAGGCTATCGTGGTTATAGAGATCAAGTTAGGTGTATATATATAGTATCTCCTTATTTTTACCTGGCTTTATAGTCTGACCTTTTATATTATTTATGAAATCCAATAAATTTCTTAAATAGTTTGGACACTTTGCGTTTTAGGATATAGGCGTGTGTGTATATTATTTCACGTGTGCGTTCACGTGTGTTTTTATATATATGGGTGTGTGGATGTGTGCGTGCGTGCGATGCGTGATCTATCTGACAGTGAATCACAAGGCCAATGCGTTGAGCAGATCCGCCTGGGAGCGAAATTTTTTCCCCCACTTGAGTTCCGGACCACAGCCAATCAGCGCACTCCATTCACTCGACTTCCTCGAAGCAACAATGTAAAATGAATACTCCCTAACCCTAACCCTAATCCTAACCGTAACTATAATCCAACCATATATATCCGAACCATATATTACAAAACACTATCTATGGTGGGTCCGGAACTCAAGTGGGGGAAAAAAATTTCGCCGCCTGGGAAGTAGTGAGGGAGGGATACACGTGTAGTCCTTATCGTGCTGTTTCTTGGTAGGATGGCCACCATGTCCTTTTTGGACTCTACGAGTCTCCTACATCGTACTGGTAGTGCTATAGCCAACCTCTACTAAGCTCTCTCTCTCTCTCTCTCACTCTCTCTCTCTCTCTCTCGCTCTCTCGCTCTCTCGCTCTCTCGCTCTCTCGCTCTCTCGCTC